TAGACAAAACTGTCTCCAAAAATCTTCTATAGTAGGAGAGAAAAAAATGGACAAGTTCAAAAAATTCAACGCGCATTCCTTTCCGGACAACCTAATACTTCCTCTGTGCCTTTCTGAGCGAGTGTAAGTCGTGCAGTGGCAAATTGCGCCACCTTGCACATGCTCGGTCCGGGAGCCAAACCGTGAACCGTCTCTCAGTCGAGCCAACCAATCCTTCCCTTTCTCGCAGGCCGGTTAACTGGTAAGCCTCAACCGGGATAATAAAAACTGATTTCCACCGGCAGGCTTCTGCAATTCGCAATATGGGCCAAACATTTGAATGTCATTCGATTGCGAATGTGAGCAGAAGGCATGGCACATTTCAAAACGATTGGGAATCCCCTTTATAACTTCATCCATAAGTAGTTGAGTGGTAAACAGAATAGGTAAAAATCGAGTGAAAGAGGCAGTGATTTCACATGAAGGGTGTGGAGTAATACGCGGCGCAGAACAATCCGATCAGCGTCGAATGCTTTACCCTCATTATCTTTATCCCTGCTTTGCCCCTTTCAGCTTTGTCCCTAGTTCAAATTACTTCATAAACATCATTACAGTGCAGCTTGAGCGCAAACATCCTCTGGTTTTGAAGGGAGACGGCTCTAGGCTTAATAGGTTCAAGTTAGACTTGTAAACCGGAACTACCGAAAGCATCGTAAGTGCAAAATGCCCCCCCCCCCCCCTCCCGTCGCCGAACTACGCCCAAGTTCTGTAATCGACACTAGTGCTATATCACCGGTTACCTCACTACTTGAATGTCTCCGAATGGCCCTGCTGTTATACCCTCTAGCGCAGACAGATAGGGGACAACGGCTGCTGACGCGATCGAGAGTTGCGTAAAGTACGGGAGTAAGATACGATCCGGCCAAATTCAACGCGATTGCGCAGGATGAATCAGTCTGCCCGCAGACCCAGCGAAAATTTTCGTTCGTCGTCGTAACGTGGGCCTACTTGCCAATATTTTGAGCCACATAAAAATGCTCAAACCCTGTACTCTACATCCAGGAAAAACTGAAATACAAATACTCTGTATTGCGTTCAAGGCCTCCGTAATTCTAAAAGAAAGGCGTGGCGCATCGCACTTGACAATTAGTGGGCACCCTTGACAAGCATTAGTCTTGATTTTATCTTCACATGGAGTAATGAATGCAGGCCAAGCGGTCAAAGGAGGGGGGGGAACTTTAGCGCAGGTGTACCACAGACTCTTTACTGTTGAAAGGTAGAAGATGACGTCTTCTAGGAAACTAACTGACATCTCACATAGCACGTAAGGACAAGGAAATCGGTATTGTACCAATGTCAGCGACGTCTTAAGACACGTCATTAACGCGTTAGTGACGTCAATGACACGTCATCCGTCTCTTAGAGTCGCGTTCATACTGCGTGATCCGAACGCGCCACGCAAGCAATTGGACCGCGGAGTATGAAAGTGCTCTAGTGGTAATGAATGCAGTGAGCCATAACGTCTTACATCTGCGCTAAAATTTCTAAGCGAAGTGAAAAGTCACTCACGTTTTCAGCTCGGAGCTCCATTTCCATATCCGCTTCTGTTTACCGTCCGATTCCTCAGCTTGATAAAAAGTACGTTTCTCGATGTACCACTGATACAACTGTAGCACTCCCATGAGTATGAAATATGTGATGGAACAGACGGCAAGAACAATCTTCGACTTTGGGAATGGGTGAATGTAATCGTAGACAATAGCAAATCCAGAAAAGCAAACAGCGATAAATGAAATAAGCAGCCTTCCGTCCATCAGAGAGTGATACTCTTTCCATCCTACTCTGTCGTTCAAAATCTTAAAAAAATATGTATAAAGCAATTCGTATAGTGATTTCATCAGAGCGCATTCATACTTTGCGTCAGCGTTTTGAACGACTAGGAAAAAAATAGGTATCGATCTAGCGCTTCGAATGTCAGCGTTTTGAGCGTCCAACAGCGTTCTATGCGGGAGCGTTCTGAGCGACTAAGAAAGTATAGGTATTGATTATCGTTGAAAACGCTGCCGCAAACTATGAACGCACTCTCACACTGGTACCTGTTTCACGGCATCGTCCAGTGTGTTTTTTACAGTCGGTCCATCCCACTTATTGATTTTAATGGGATCCGTTGACTTTCCGGTCATTTCTACCTGAACAGTGAAGTAAAATGGAAAAGAGAACGCAAAACAACAACTTGTGGTAATGATTTTCGAGCGAAACCGTTGAAAACGAAATAAGAACTTTATCGATACAAATGAATGAAACGGAGACAAGATATGCATATTGCATATTATCATGCAAGGGCTGTCCAATTCATTCTGTACATTTCAGAAGCGAAGAGATATGAGAAAGCATGGCAACGTGGCACACAACTAAGTTTTTTCCTGTGATCTGACTTGACCTACTAGGGAGCAAATGAATGTAACTGAATAAATTTAGAGTAGCTGCTTTCTTCATAGGAGAGTACATTTCCAACAAGTTGCACAACACAAATGGAAAAATAACAAAAAGATGTAAATATTGTTAAGATGACGACGAGTACATAAACGACGAGCGTTGCGACAAAACACGCTGATTGAATGGAGCGCCATAACTCTCTGCCCCAGCGACACATCTGTCAAATGTGAAAGTTGGAAGACACTCATGCTAAAAACAAGGAAAACAAATCCATTCATTCCATTATCTCTTAGGGTGCTAACGTTGGGGGGACCACGCGGCTCGCGGCGTGCGATGACTCATCTGCTCTTCTGCTCCCTCCTCGGCAAAATAGAAGTAATTTTGTGTTTAGGACATGGATATAACACCGACCTAGCTATATTAATAC